TTGTAAATTCCGAGAGCAGCAGATCCTTCTTCCTCACCCATAGATGCCAAGGAGACAATGCAGCTTGCCATCATGAGGATGCCTCCCCTTAGAAGAGGGAAAATCTGTTACCAGTGGATACCATGGTGGATCTACCATCCTTAAGGACAACTGCTCCTAGTTGCCTGTCTATCCACATCTGCAAATTATGCTGCTGTTCTGGTTTTCCCTCATTTTTAATGTATTTTATGCTATAAGGAAAAAAGATTGAAGAGTTAGGGAAGAATTAGTTAACATGGGAAGATTACAAATGCATGATGATACCATCTGGAACCAACATAAAATTGTGTGGAGAGAAGGGCCAAGACTTTTCTGGAAACTCCCTTTACTCATTTGCTAACAAAAGTATAATTCAGTTACATCCTGTGTCTGTTTTAGGTTGCTTCTCCAGAAAAGCTTTTGCTGATTTCCCATGTGTGTTCATGCAGAATTCCCCCCAATGTGTTAGCAACCTAAAGCTCTAACATTAAAATACATACTGCCTGTAGGCTAATTTAAAATGTAATACTTATAGGTATAATTAAAAGATATTAAGATTTTAAATTTTTTAATCTTTGGGCTTCCACTCAACTCCTGACCTTGTTGCTGAACAAATAACAACACTGGCCAATTTAAAACAAGGCAAATGCAAATAACTGATGTTGTTCTCATAATTTCCATTGAACCATCATACTAAAGGACTTTCCAATTACTCTGTGACAACCACCCTGCCCACCTGACTGTTCTTCTGTCACTTAGGGCTTCTTTTTGGCTTTCCTAGGGGAAGCTAAAGTGCTTCAATTCCAGTATTTTACATATTGCTGAGGTTCATCCTGTAATGGCTATTTTAGCTAAGTGACATCTTCAGTCAGACAATGCATTCTCTGTTGAACAAGACAAAATGTTTTAGGAAGAAGACACAGCAAGTAGAAATCTGCAGATGGACAGAGAACAAGGGTAGTGTCGTCGTACAAGATAAATTACACTATTGAAACTTTGATTGAGCTTCAAGTCAGAATTGGCAGCATCCTTCACTAGAATCTTCTGCCTACTCTAAGACCCCTGATTTACTCCCCTCTTTACTTTGAATTATCAACTGATGACAGCTTCCAGTGGAAGTAAAACATAGTGGAGGATATGAGTGCTTGGGAGTGATTTCTTAAATTTCTATACAGTGTAATGGAGAACAAGCTAGTAATCACCCAGTGTGGATGACAGCTGGTGATGTAATCATCTAGAATAGCCCTATATCGTAGCTTATAGCATATTAGAGTCAAGGAAAATGCATAGTACTTTCTTGCAATATAATTTAATAATGGTAATTTACCTGGAAAATGTAACTCACATACAAATCGACAAGTTTAAGTGAAGAATATTTGAATGCTGGCATCTAGCTAGCATCGCTGTTATCAAACAACAACCCATACCAGCTAAGAATATCCTTGTCTTTTTGTGTTTTACACACAATTCCATTCAGTATCAAGCACCAGTAATGAGATAAATAGATTTATGTTTAATGGAAAGGGAGGGAAACACTTATTTGACATTTTAAAAAAGACATTTCTTCTTAGTGGTATGTGTATTGAAGTGTAGCAGGAAAAATATTTTGCAAATGAGAGAAAAAATCCTTTCTGAAACAGAGAACTACTGTAGCTTTACTGAGGTCTACATCTCTATGTTTAATAATACAGTAGGGAGAACTCATGCAGTAAGGAATAGGAGAAATTTCAAAGTTCAATAAATTTTATAAAATAGTTTCTCTAAAATGGCTTTGGTTATATCATTCATTATCAGGGGTGATACGGTCATTATCCATTATATTCCCCTGGAATTCAAGAGCACATTTCCAAATCTGAGAAGTCATATTCCAGACTCCCAACTCTGAGTAGCCTAATTTGCACATTATAATTTTTTTATAATATAGAAATTAAGTGTTGTGTGCATTCAAATCACTGCCAACTTATGATAACTGTAATGCAGGGGGTTTTCATGGCAAGGTTTGTTCAGAGGGGGTTTGCTTTTGTCTTCCTTTGAGGCTGAGAGTGTGTGTGATTTGTTCAAGGTGATCTGGTGGAGGGATTTGAACCCAGAGTCATACTCCAATGCTCAAACCACGATACCATATTGGGTCTCAGAAATAAAGTATGTTAAGCAATTTCTCTGAAAGATATTATCTTCCTATGTGAACCTGACAGTCTTAAGATCCGCAAGAGAATGGCTGTCAGTCCTGCCAGTAGCATAGGCCCATCTGGTGATGGCACAGGAGACAGCCTTCTCTGTGGCTGCTTCCAGGCCATAGAATTCATTTCCCCAGGATGCTAGGTTAGCTTCCTCTCTGTTTTCCTTTTGCTGACAGGCAAGGGCCTTCCTATCCAAACAAGCATTTAGAAATACTGGTTGCAGAGAATCATTTTTTATGGTGTGTGTGTGTGTGTGTGCTACAGTTTAAAATTTTTATTATTTTTAAAATGATTTTACACTTTTTAAAATTCAGTGGGATTGTAATATGATAACTTGTTTAATTTGTATTTAAACTTTTTATTATTATATTTTGTTAAGCTTTCTATTGTTTTAATCTTTTTTAAGCCAACATGGCATAGTGGTTTGTGTGTTGGACTACGACTCTGGAGATCAGGGTTCGATTCTCAGCTCAATGGGATGCACAAATGACCAAGCATCCTCCAGGACTTCCTGAGGTGTTTTATGCAGCCAGTTATAGAAACATAACTGCACATTTCTCCTCCTTTCTTCTTGTTGTTGTTAACTGCTGCCAAGTAGACTTTGAGTGTAAGTCTGTTATCAACAGCCCTGCTCAGGTCTTTCAAATTCAGACTTGACTGAGTCTATCCACCTGTAATGCAAATTTGACTGAGTCTATCTACCTATAATGCTGTCTTTCTCTTTTCCTTTTGCTTCCTTGCCAAGCGTTGTCTTTTCTAATGAGTGATGTCTACTGGCCAATAAATTAGCATGGTGGTGTGGTGGTGGTGGTGTCTGCAGCAGCTGAAAGGTGTGGGATTAGGTTTGGTCATTGAACAAGATTGATAGAGAAATCTGAACTTCAGAACAAAAATGCCCTATGCAGACATAACTTGGACTTACACTAGGATGCCAGCCAACAACTGCAGCAGCATTTTGTCATATACTGGACTCAGGAGTTTTGTAGTGAGACCACTTTAGTTTTTGCTATCAGAAGATTTTTAAAACTGGTGACAAAAAATTAACACATCTGTGAGATTACCACAGAAAACCCCAGAAGTGATAACACTGTTATCTGATTCAGAGGGGAAAAGATACTAACGAAAATGGAGGCCAGCATAAGGAAGCAGTTCAAAAACAATGAGTGATTTCCTTCAGAGGTAAAATTGAGTATTCAGCCATTCAGCTATTGAGTATTCAGCCATTCAGAAATGTCTGGGCTTTCCTCATCTTTCTTTCTTTCTTTCTTTCTTTCTTTCTTTCTTTCTTTCTTTCTTTCTTTTTTGCATAGATTATTCTTGCAGCCGTTGTTGTATAAAATTATATTTTACCACATTTATTTTCTAATTCATCATCTATTATATCCAATAGATATATTTTAGAATCTTTCTAATTTTTAAGCTGAAGGAATCCCATCCACCCCTTAAAATACTATTAAACAATGACAATTTAAAACACACTTAAAATAATAATACAAATAAACAAATAAACAATAACTCCAGCAGAATCAGGGGAGCAGGTTGTGCTGTCTTATGATGGCAGGGATGTTTATTCAGGAAAGGCCTGCTGGAAGAGATCCACCTTAACAGCCTTTTTAAAGCTGATTAAAGTGGTAATATGACGGATCTCATCCGGCAGGCCATTCCATAATCTGGGAGCAATTGCATCCAGATGGGATTTACATTCCAACTTTAAAAGAGATATTCCTTGTGTTGCATATTACTTTAAAGATAGATTGGAGAGCATCTTTGAAGACTAAAATATAGAATAAACTCATCACCTCACAGACATGAAAACCACCAGATGTCATGGGCTAATGGACAAAATCACAGAATCATAGAATTGTAGAAATGAAAGAGGCTCTAAGGGCCATCCAGTCCAACCTCCTACCATGCAGGAACTCACAATGAAAGCATCCCTGACAGATAGCCATCCAGTCTTTGTTTAAAGACCTTCAAGGAAGGAGACTCCACCACTTCTGAGGGAGTGTGTTACATTGTTGAACAGCTCTTACTGTCAGGAAGTGCCTCTTAATGTGGAGGTGGAATCTCTTTTCCTTCAGCTTGCATCCATTGTTCCATGTTCTAGTCTCTGGAGCAGCAGAAAACAAACTTGATTAATCCTCAATGTGACACCCCTTCAAATACTTAAATAGGGCTATCATATCACCCCTTAACCATCTCTTCTCCAGACTAAATATATCCAGCTCCCTAAATCTTTCCTCATAAGGCATGGTTTCCAGACCCTTCACCATTTTGGTATCCCTCCTCTGGACACACTCCAGTTTCTCAACATCCTTTTTGAATTGTGGTGTCCAGAGCTGGACACAGTTTTCCAGGTAGGGCCTGACCAAAGCAGAATAGAGTGGAACTATTACTGCCCTTGAGCTAGACACTATATGTCTATTGATGCAGCCTAAAATTGCATTGGCCTTTTTAGCTGCCACATCACACTGTTGACTCATGTTAAACTTGTGGTCTACTAACACTCCTAGATCCCTTTCACAAGTAGTTTTGTTAAGCCAGGAGTCCTACATCCTATATTTATGAATTTAATTTTTCTGCCCTAAGTGCAGTACCTTACATTTCTCTGTGTTGAAATTCATTTTGTTAGCTTTGGCCCAGCTTTCTAATCTATTCAGGTATTCTTGAATTTTGATTCTGTCCTCTGAGATATTAGCTATCCCTTCTAATTTGGTGTCATCTGCAAATTTGAGAAGCATGCCCCCTATTGTTTCATCCAAGTCATTGAAAAAGATGTTGAATAGCACTGGACTCAGGACAGAACCCTGTGGCACCCCAATGGTCACTTCTTTCCAGGATGAAGAGGAGCCATTGCTGAGCAACCTTAAAATAAAATAGAAGTTTTTGTGAGAATTCAAGGAAAACAATTGTGTATGGTCTTTTGACTATGATGTAAGAACTTTACTTCCAAGCTTTTACTCTTTTTTTTACTTCTGTTTATAAAATCTATTTGATTTTTGCTTTGACCATCTGGTGATATCCATGTATGTAGCCTTCTTTCTGGTTGTATGAAAAATGTGTTTGCAATGAATAGGTTGTTGGTTTCACAAAAATCTATCAGACACTCACCTGCTTTGTTTCTTTTGCCTAATCCAAATCTGCCTGTTTTTGATTCTTCTTTGCTTCCAACTTTTGCATTCCAATCTCCAATGATCAGCTTGACATCTTGTCTTGGTGTGCTATCAGCTTCTTCTTGTACTCCTTCATAGAATCTATCAATTTCTTCCTGTTCTGCCTCTCTGGTTGGTGCATATACTTGGATTATGGTGATATTCATAGGTTTACCACACAGCCTTACTAAAATGATTCTGTCTGATTTTGCATTGTATCCTCTGACAGCTTTTGCCACATCTTTTCTTAGTATGAAAGCTACCCTATTTCTTCTTGTCTTTTCATTGCAAAGAATTGAGAAGGAATTGCAAAGAATTGAGGAGAATACTGGGGTTTATTAAACACTTGATCTTTTAAACTAGAAATACATAGATTGACCTTGGGTTCCTTTGCTCCTGTCAGATATGCAAAATTTCCAGAAATATTGAAGCCATTTTTCTAGTGTGGAGAAAGACAAAATAATTATTTTTTTGGGGGGGGGTAGTTTTGCTACTTCGAGGGGGTAGTTTTGCTAAAGTAGTTTTGCTACTTTAACTACTTATTGCTATACTTGCTGTGCATTAGTTTCCTATAGCTAAAATGAGCATATCATTCCTTACTAACCTTCAACATTAACAACCTTCTTATTAATATTTGTTTGAAGAGTGAGTGAAGAATACACATGTTGGTGTGATTCAAGGCCCTTTCACAGTACACAATTATAGCACTATGATTTCACATTAACTGCCATAGCAATATCCTATGCAATTCTGGGATTTGCAGTTTAGGGAGAGATATTTAGAATTATCAGCCAAAGAGCCTCATCAAACTACTAACCTAGGATTCCATAAGATGTAGCTATGGCAGCTAAAGTGGAATTATGGTGCTCTATTGGTGTAATGCAAAAGGGTCCAAGGATTATGTTTGTTCCGTACTAAGCACTAGTTCTAAAAACTAGTAACACAACTTGTTATTTCAATTCATTCATTTCCCCAATAACAAATATCTGATTATGTTACATTGTGATTGTAATGTTACATGAATTAGCATTAAGCTCATGCCATTAGTGGTGTAGCTGTACACTTTAGTTAGTTTTATAGTTACAGGGTGTGGTCTTGCCAAATGCGGTGAAGGAAAATCACATTGTTCAAGTGTTGTCTCATGCTCTGCCAAGACTGTCAAGACAGTGGTGAAATAGACAGGAGAAGAATATGTTTTGTATCATTAACTAGCAGCTTGTAGAATCAGAAGCAACAAAAAGTTGCAGTTTTAGTTACCTTTCAGAAATGGGAAGATAAACAGTTCTTTAAAAAGACACAACTGATATTGGTTACCCAAGGGGGAACCCTGGAAAATATAACTATGACTAAATACTTTAAAACACTAAATACTTTTAAAAAGTAATTTTCCAAACTTTGCCAGGGTAGCATTACAGAAGACAATATTCCCGTTGTTCTTCAAAAATCTGTATACTGACTAAAAGAGTCCATCTGTCCCACTGAGAACTGTCAACAGTGGCATATTTTTAGGGCAGACTTTTGTCTGCATAAGCTGCCTCTCTTTTTATTGTTTCAAAGCTTCAGCTGTTTTTAAAAAGCTCTCATTTACATTTTTAGAATTAGAAATTTTCGGCAAACACTGAGAAGATGTATAATCTTGTTATGAAATTAAATAACTGTAAGACATTAGGGAGTAACAAATACTTTCAAAATGAAATGTTAGAAGCAAATAAAGTTTAGACTGGAAAATGTGATTTTTGGGAGACGAGACATCTGCAGCACTGTGATATGCACATTATTGTGTCATTGCCCTGGAAAAGCAGAATTGCATTCTTTTTGCTAAGCTCAGATGTATAGACAGGTTTTTATCTATGTTGTTCAAAAGGGCTTCAGCAAATATTTTATTTAAAAATAAAAAAATGCTGAAGAATATATGAGGCTAAAAGCTGCCATCTGATCAGAAGATTGTCTGATAAAAGGATAAATGGGTTGGCTATAATGGGATTTAAAATGCCCGAGGAGGTTGATTTTTTTTTTAAGGTGTTCCCCTTATTTCAGCAATATGAAAATTAACCCCTGGAAGGATATTTTCCTCTTTAATAAGTCATCCAAATCCTGGATATTTAGAACCAAAGCAGAACCTCAGGTCTCTGAGCTGTGCTTGTTCAAATTCAATTTTGTTGTTTACTTCTTGTCCCCTGCCTCCCACTGCATAAAGAGAAGCATGATCGGGGATAGCTTTCCCCAACCCAATACCTTTCAGATGTTTGGATTACAATTCCCATTAGCCCCAGACAATCAGGGATGATAGAAGTTATAGTTCAACACATCTGGAGGACATTAAGTTG